TCTCTTCCTTTTTTCTTTGTCTTATTTAAAAGAATTTAAAGGAAATCGGCATTTTGGCAGATCGTCTGCACAATCTCGATTACTGCTCGACGCTGACAAGTTGGCATATAGTTCTACACTGTCAGATGGACGTTGCGGTCAGCATCAAGATTTTATAACACTTGGAAAAAATTTTTTGTCGGTGATATGGGCAAATACAAGGGTTTTTAAGAATTTGAGTAATTTGGCCAAATCCGACCGAGAAATGAACAATTCTTATTTTTTTATTGTGAGAAATACAGGTGTATGTGGAATGATTACTAGTTAATTATTGAGAGTGTATAAAGAAAATAAGCAAATTGGAGCAGCAATTATGTTTGAAATTAATATCCGAAAGAAAATCACGTCTATAAAAATATCATCCTGATAAAATACAGAGTTTTTTTTATCCTTTTGCATAAAAGGATAAACAGTGGGCAAAATTTAAATATTTCCATGAATATATTACATACATATATGATTTCTTTGCACAGTGTTTTAATTCAACATTTTAAAGTGGACTCCCAGCTAAATTAATACCAGATATCAAATCAAAATATAAAATAGAATTAGAGAGGAAAAAGTCTAGAGAAATTAGGTGGTTAATTGCCAGAGCAAATTGCCAGAGATATTCAAACTTAAAAGAGAAAAAAACACACATTTACAGAAAAAGAGACAAGAAACACACAGTTACTGTTACTGTGTAATCTGCATTATTGTCATATCTATAACCACGAAGGAAAATCAAGCTTAAATCATATCTTGTTAATCAGGTTTTGCGCGTAAAATGGCCACCTCGTATCAAATTTAATTAGCCAATTAGTGATGAACCTGATACGGTCTGTTGTGAGCTGTTACATGATGATAATAACGACACTTGCCGCACGGTTTTGCCGCCATTACGTCATGTCACGTGACGAGAAGTCATTTGTGACGTCTTGCTGGAATATGTCAAATATTTAAGAATGCTCGGGCTAATTAATGAATCAATAAATAAATTCAAAACTTAATTGTTGAATATTTGTTGCGTATTTGTACAACAGAACATTATAGAAACTTCAGTAGGTATCTATAGTCTGAAAAGGCGTTCCCAAAAAGAAAGACGAATTCTCTTGTCTTGGTCTGTGCACGGGGTCTTGTTTTAGCTTTTACCACTATGTATAAAAACAGTATAGGTGATATTGGCACGGGTTGATCCGTCTCAAATAACTTTATATGAACGCGGCGTTTGTTACGGAGTTACAGCGATGTTTGGTCGTGCAGGTGAAACAGATTTTACAAGCGGATTAGCGGCGTTATGTAATGGGGAAAGATAACGACGAGCGCACGCTGTCAATTTTAAGGGGGTTGATCGGTGGAGGTGGAATTGGAGGGGGAGGGCGCTTGTTTGAAGAGCATTACTTATTTTTGGCAATTCCACCGTCGATAGGTTTAAGGCATTTGCGTCTTGGTGAGTTTGACGGAATTATTATATTTGTGAATGTTTTGCATTATTACGCTAATGAGGTGTATAATTTAAAGGAGAGAATTAAAGAAAATTTCGAGAAAATGTTTAAAATCAGCGACAGCTACATTTTGATGATTTTCATCAACAAACAAAATTTTACTTCCTCATCATAAAATCTAATGTCCACACCAATTTACTTTTATAAAGAGAACATCAATTATCTATAACATTTTACAAAACATCGGCATTCGAATTTCACCCCATCTTCTATGACAACAAACATGTTTTCCCGCCAATACCTAGAAAAAAAGGTCGTCTGACATTCCAAAAAGACAGGCGCGGCCTTGTTTCTAGTACATTTCCAATAATTCCTCCACACTAAGTCTCAGCAAATATGTTTTCACCTGTTATTGTGTAACAGGGCGCCTGAAGGCTCGATATACCTGGGGACGCCCCTGTAAGAGCGGCTTTAGCGGCTCAAAGGTGAGAAAAGCAGCACCCTGCCTTGTGTAATCACTGCTGGAGCGATGGTGGGCATGGGCCCGCATGCACGAGTGTGAGTGCGCGCGCGCGTGTGTGCATGTGCTTACGTGCACGCGTTTCTGATTTTATTTTCATAATCTGCTCTCGTTATTTTGTTTATTTAATAAATTAATTTTATTATTGAGTAGTAAGAATGGACGTTTTTGGGAGAAACTGATACACGTGTTAGAGAAGAGGAATCAAAGATTTTGATCAAAAATCATTCAATGGGGTGTGTGCACTACCACGCTGCCTGTGCATTTTAAGTTATTACCTTTACCATTTAGCCCCGTGTTAAGGATAAAGATAGCGTTCCATACTCTGTTCGGGACAACCGCTAAGAAAATCACTCAACTTTTCAATACAAACCAACTCACAACAATGTTTGTTTGTTGGCAGAGTCAGGTGATTTATTGCTGCGTTGATTTATACGCGAGACCAGGGCAGTGCGACCGCGACAACCATTGGGTATTTATTGCCGTGTTGATTTATACGCGACAGGACAGTGCAGTCACGACAGCCCTGGGATATTTATTTATCCCCCTGACCTCAGTTTCGATCTCATCTTTTAAAATTTTGTTAAATTTGCTGCCTTAGAACCGGATATGTGAAATGCTGATTTGATTAAATGATAACATGCTTTATGGATTTGATGTACTTTTATTTAGTCCTCTTTAACTCCTAAATCGTGGTTAATTTTCTCTAATCAAACGTGTTGATTAAGTTGGTAAAAGCTACATTTTGTGTGAAGTGCACTGGTCTGTAGTAATAAAATAAATATGTGGAATGCGTTATAAAATTCTATTTAATACTTTTGTCAAATATTGCTGACACCAATTAAATTTATCACATTGGAAAAATTACAAGTAGCTTGAGTTGATTGAGAGACTCTCCTAAAGCGCTTAATCATTTTGATCACAAAGGGATAACACGCCCACCCTGACACTCCAGTGAACATGAGAGCCTCCTCAAAAACTGATGGAAAGTATTCACGATTAAATCATCTAGTAGAATTAGAGTCATATATATCATCTTGAAGAAAAACATACGTTGCTTTTAAAGAGACTAAAAAAGAAAGAACACCCCTGAATTGTGGTTAATTTGAAGGAAAACAAAGGTCGTGAATGAGGAGAGTTAACTCGAACCCTCTGAAACGCAGGGTGTACGCTTACATTAAGTCAAAATCAAAGGTAAATGAGGGTGCCAGGTGTTAAAGATGGCCGTGAGGACATGTTTGTTTATCCCCTCGTCACCTCCTCTTCACCCAAATTATAACTAACAAACCAAAGCTCATAAATATTATGTTTGATAATTTCCAGCCATTTTGTTTGGTGTCTTTTAAAATAATCCATGCTGTGTTGGTGCAAATGTTTATGAGTTTCAAGTAATCTGGTTAAATTCTGTTTGTACATTTTATCTCCCAATATGTTACAATTGCCAGTCATTTGCTGTGGTATTTTTTTAAAGCTATAACCACAGAACAGCCGTTATATTTTTTTTTGGCTTGATAAGAACTGATGTCGATGATGCGCCTTGAATTGTTCATGTTTTTACAACTTTCTGTCGGACTGTATCTATGACTGACTTCTTTCCTTAAAAACATTACATGATTAGTAGGATTCATGTATAAAAATGGTGATAATGATATCAATGACAAAAATGACAATGAGTGCAATTTTTATCGCATTCACCTTGAATGAATTGACATTCAGAGTATCATTTTTTTCTTGGTTGATCATCTGTTGTATTGGATGTAACTTTTTTCTCTTTTGGAAACGTCTGCGGTATTTTTGTTTGGGGTTTTTGTTTAGATAAGTAAAATGTGAAGTATTGTTTTAACATAGGTTAATATGAGTAAAAAGAGTTCAAGAATTTGATATCTTGTAATGTATAAGTAACAGATGTATTTTTACAGCTTGGGGCGTGTGATATATTTTGTAGGTTCGTGTGCAGCTGAATTACTTCGTCGGTGACAATGTTAGTGCATAGTAGAAAGTGTGTGTAAACAGGAGAAAGTCAGATGAATTAAAAGGAAAGATTGGATGATAATTTGAAAAAAAAAAAAAAAAACAATACTCAAGATAAAAAATATTATAAAAAAATATGTCATGTTCTGGACAGCGCAACTTACGAAACGTCTTAGACGAGAATCTGACAAATTGGTCGAGGTTTCCCTCGCAGATGATTGACACGAGTCGAAGACGCAATTAATAAAACCAAAACGCCAGACGAGCAAGGAACTCGGCGCCGCTCAACTTCTTAACCGTGTTACTTGTAACAGCACTGTTAATGACTTTGAACAGATGTCCGCGGGAAGCCATTAGCGCATCGGCGAAACATCTTCGATTTAGAAACACATCCAAGCGTGATAATTTATTTGCAAATTGGCGTAATCTGCCGGTCGTGTTTCTGTAAGTGACGGGGCTTACACAACCCAGCCATAACAGTGGCGTAACTTCAACAAGCTCGCACGGCGAGGGTTACGTTAACAGTCGCACGCGCCTTGTCAGTGTGAGTTTACTGCGGTAACAACAAGCAAAACGTTTCATTTTTGCCTGCTGCGCTAGGCCCGCGGTCTCGGATGTCTGTTACATATTAGGGAATATAAAAGCCTAAACGATCCCCTTTTTTAAAAAGAATATAACCTTTTATTAAATTGTTCTTGAGGAAGTGACAGTATCACATGTGTTAAATGGTTCAATACATATATAAACAAGACGAAATGGGCATGGAAAATGCAGTTCAATTGTTGAATTTGTTAAAATAAAATTAGCTGCTATTGTGGTTTTCCATATAAATAAAGAATTGCTGACGTTATGGTGAGGAAAAAGGAAATACTTCAAGACAATAACCGTGATATTTTTTAATTTCACCAGCTTTTTTCTTGCTCAAAATTATTCGATTAATCCTGATATTAAAAAAAAAAAAAAAAAAAAAAAAAAAAAAAAAAAAAAAAACGGAATGAAAAAAAAGGATAAAAAAGACAAAGATAAATTTGATGATGTAGCATATTTTAAGTTAGCATTTATAACGAAGTGCACGCTCGCCACAAGACTTTCTTACCGTTACTTTGCTTTTTAGTTGTTACATATATAGTTTATGTATAAATGATAAAAATATATGATGATAAATAATTTGCAATCTAATAGATCCTAACTACTCAGTCTCGTAGCTGCACAGATATTTCATATCCTTCCAATTTCGTAAAAAAAAAAAAGAAGAAAAAAATACACCGAATTGCAGAAAATTGAAAACGCATAATTCGAAATAACGACCCGGGTTACCCTAGCGCCAGGGGAAGCTGTTGTTACAAATAACCGGAGTAAATAAACTGGCGTTTTAATCAGATCAACGGCGACGTTGATAAGGGACGAGGCTGTAGAGAAGCAGCGCACCCCTTCGTTGGGAAATCGGCCCTACCCAATGCGCTAATTCGCAAAGCAAACACCAAACATCGGTAAATCAAGCTCTCTTAGTTGGCAGTCATTAACCATCGAAGTGGTCAGCGGGTTGGTCAGTTGGAGACGCTCTGGACACGGTTAAGGATGGTGCTTTAAAAGGACGGTGGGATTGGTCGTGATATTGAGTTGTTTCGGGCAGAGTGAACTTAGGGGACGTAAGTATAACGGCAGAGTTCAGATATAAAACAAAGCGCTTCCGTTTAGCTGTTGTAAAGGACGTATCATAGGATTGATTGTTGGTGTTTCTAAGTGTTTTTTTTTTGTATGAAAAAAGCGGCCATTACATGTTTTTTGTTTCGAAAACAACTTGAACGAAACTACAAGGATTAAAGCGAACATTACAACTATCTGACATCGAAAATTTACATAATTAATTTCAGATGTCAAACTGCAAATAATCGACAATTTATAATGCTTATATAAACGGGACAGAACACTTTTTTTGTGGAGGGCATATGTTTATATAGCTAAAATATGCAGACTAGTATTGTGGACGGTTGCGTTGTTCCGTATGAAACATTTCACAGCAGGCTGACAAAGCGATAATCTTATCTGCAAGTTCTATATGCAAAAATTGTGCTGCCAATTCGATGATACTAATTGACCCGAATTTCCCCAAGTCTACGTGATCGCAGACATCCACACTGTAAAAACGCGTTAAGTGTTACATTTTTTGTTCAGATTTTGATTAACTTGGCTTAATTATTAACTTAAAAACGGAAATAGACAATCTATAGTATGAGCAGTAGGCCTAATAGCCGAGTCACGTGGATGTGGGGACCTCTGCAAGTCATGCATTTACAGCGAGACAGTTGCATATATTTTTTGTTTCACTATCTAGTGAATATTTCAAATAACATGTGAAAAAGGATATTGCAACGCCGAAATTTCTGCAGCCATTTTATGTTTATAACACACATAAGCTAAAACATGGGTCTACACATAAACTGTACATAGTGGAAGGTTGGTAAATTATTTCCAATTAATCTGACAATGTCGTTTAAGGATTTCATTTGAAATATGGACCAAAGCTCAGGCGATTAATCCGACTTTATTGGACTGATATTTAGCTTGAAGCATTTTATTTGATAAAGGGATACCTGTGCGGCGTTCTAACACTTCATGTTCTAAATAAACCGCTAGGGATTCGTCGCCTCTCTAAATATTATGGTAACAAAAAGAGCAATGGCTTCCTGAAACAGAAATGCATCTAATAATATCAGATAATAACATATAGACGTTTGTAAGTTGTGTATGTATTTATCTCTTCCTAAGAGTACTTAGATATTGTTTTATTCTGTTTACGAGAAATGAGACCTTATCTCATAGAAAATATTTTGCTTGTAAAGATGTTCGTACCACACAGTGAATGTTATTATTTTATTGATATAATTTCATAACATTTCCCTCAGAAATTGGCATGATTAAGCCTCACATTCATGTTTTTTTCCTTGGACACATGAGCTTTTTTTTTAAAAAGACACCTAAGTTACAAGACGTGACATTAATAATTGACAGATTATTATACAGTGTAAATAAATACTGGTTTTAGATAATAACATTCAGATAAAAATTATTAACATTTTGCCAAAGAAAACAAATTGGAAGTGCATAAATCCGAAAACAAAGACCCAAATAAAAAATTCCACCATAGCACCTTAAACGCGTTCCATCAAGTTCAAGTAAACGGGGAAACCTTTCGTCCATCTTTAACGAAGCGTATGACGCAGAGGTTAAAATTTATGACCCTGTTCAATTTCTTTAATTCAATCTACGAACCGTATACGAACAACCCTCTCGGGTCACCAAGAAGGGTGTTGATATTTTTGCCGGCATATGAAACAATGGTTTGACTGGTAGGATTCCAGAGACTTCCAAGTTTTTGTAGTGAAAAGTAAATAAATTAGCGCGGAAATACTGGAACGATGATTTCAAAATCAATGGGCGGTTAAGTAAATTGTTATTTAACAAATTAAACGTTCCAATGGGTAAAATATATATATCAAAAAAGAAAAGTTGAATTTTTGAATAGGCCTTCGGCAAACATACAAAATACAAAAGTAATCCTGACCGAACAAATTATTTTTTATCAAAAATAACACCTTTTGCTGTAGTTGTATTTAAAGCACGTTGATAAAATATTTGAATCGGATATTTATGAGAGGTTTTCCTCCATTTTGTCTCAGTTTTGTCTCATTATTTTTCTAAGATTGTACGTTTGATTATTTGAAACTCATCGGCGTGTTCGAAATATTTGTTTTTTTGTAATTTAATATTACTAGGACTAGATGTTACACACACACACACACACACACACACACACACACACACACACACAGAGAGAGAGAGAGAGAGAGAGAGAGAGAAAGTGTGAGGGCGGGGATATTTTGATCCAACTGATGTGTGGGTATTTGTCATAGTGACAACATTCATCATAAACCCCATTGAGAAATATGATTCTGATAAATTCCCATTACTTACTAAGAAATATTATGGGCAAGTGTAGCATATTAATTGACCCAAAGCATCTGAGGCGAGAGGTTGAGAAAGAGAAGCACAGGAGGAGCGACAGGGGAATGAAATATTGATAGGTCCGTAGGGATAATTTTCTCATGGCCATAAACCTGAATGTGAAATTAAAATCTGAAATCTTCCCATCACTTTTCAGTGAACTACTGTTACGCCGAGGGTTGGGTCTTAGTTAATTACCGGTAGCTGACACGACCTACGGCGTTTGATTTATAACCCGTTCGGACACCCGTGAAACGGAAGCGATAAATTATCGTCTGCCTCAACGATTGTGACGTAACAACACGCTGTCGTCTGCTTTCTTCTGGAAAACCTACGGGTTGCACATCTGTCTTTCAGGGTCAGTGGTTAGAATTTGACAGGGAGGAGTGTAAAGTGTGGATTTACACGTGTAATTATTGCTCTTAATTTTCCACTTAGACGAAACGGGTATTTGAGAATATGAACTTATAATCTTGAATTTTTCACGTAATCAGTGGGATTAAATCTACAGAAACAACGGGGTAAAACCAAATTTTCTTTCCATCAAATATAGGAAGCAGCTATTCGCTTTCAAGCTATAATTTTTTCCAAGATCTATGACTAAAACTCATGGCATATAAAAAGTAGTTGTCATACTCATCATCTAGTTTTTGTTAGGCCTAGTAAATATGTCAGAGTTCTGTCCTATTATTGATCGATACTAGTATTTGATATCGACGTTATCTATAGCTATTTTTCAATTAATCATTAATCAGAAATTATGGATTTCTCTCTGAACATCGACAGGAATATTGCTCTAGTAGACACTAAAATATAAATTCTACTATAAATTGACAGTGCAACAACAACAACAAAACTATACTCAATAACGGAACACAAGTCAATTTTGACACATTCAAAAGATATAAGAAGTCAAAATTTTGTCTATTATAGCGGATACTTATATAAAGTTATATAGTGAGTGTTTACTTAATCTTTGTCAAACATTAACCGGAAAATGCAGCAATTATCGTTCTACTGGATGAGGATGTAGATAATTAGTTTCCAATAAAAAAAATATAAAAATTCAGAATATAATTCCGGAACAGGATGTTACTGTCTTTGAGCAAGCGGCGTGAAATAAAAGAGTATTTGTGGCTAAAATAGGTATTGCAAAACCTCCCACAAACTAAGCTTTAACTGATCTAGAAAACGACTCTTTTTCAAGTTACAAGTTTTTGTGGTCGACTAGATGTTTGCCAGTTTTAATCATTATTAAAAAAAAAAGAAGAATATGTTATTTGACAGCATTGGAGCTGCGAACTGAGCAGAGTTGTAAATATACATGTATGTTGTACTCATGTTGTCTGATATTAATATGTAGGCCTAATATTTCATGGATTAAAATTGGTGTTGCCTTTGAAATAATAATAATAATAATAATAATAATAATAATAAAAGAAGTAGACCTGGTCTTTTAATTTTCAATTTCTTATTTTTCCAGTGAATGGAATTTCATGGAATTAACTTCCATTGCTATTAAACCTACGGCTTCTCACCAAGACCCGTCAAACTGTCCAGAATCCGTCCACCAAGCAGTGACCAGCGTCGCTGACCACGAGCCAGAACCCCCCTCGACTGTCGCGGAGCGGCGTGGCATGCACGAGGCCCTAGCTGTCAATTTCGTCGAGCCAGGATTACTGCGAACCGAAGAAGTCGAGACGTTTTTTAACCATCTAGATCGGCCCTCTCTCCCAGGGACGACCCCCCTCCCCCCTTTAGCTCACCTCCACCAGGACACCCCCTCCACCCCCTTCTCCTGTAGGGCAGCCGCCATGTTTCAAAGCCCGGGCACCATGTCTGCAATGACGTCCCCTACGTACCACGAGACGGGCCAGAGCCCTTACATTACCAACCCCGTCTACGTCCCCACGACGCGCGCCATATTGCCCGGACAGTACGGCTCGCCTCAAACCCCCGTGCAAGCACAGACGGGCCAACTCTGGTCCATGCAGGACTCAGGATACCCAGCGGCGGCCACCGTGTCGCACCGGTTCTCCTTTCCCCCGACGCCAAGCCCGCCAATAAACTCCCCCGGAGGACGTCAGGACGCCAGCTACGTGCCTCGGAACGGAATCAGCCCTTACACGCCGTACATGAGTTCGCCAGATTTAAATCCTTGGAATGCGTACAATATGGGGAATAGCATGCAGATGAGGCGACCTGGTGAGTAGCAAGCTGTATATATAAACATATATATATATGTATAGAAATATACACATATATTTACCAGAATGGTGATACATGTAAATAAAGAAGAATGCGAAATTTTGGCAGCACAAATTGATCTTGAACACGCGTTAGGACAATGGTGAAGTGATATGGTCTTCAAGAAGATCGCACGAGATCGAATTTCAACAGGTTTTTCTAAGAAAATAATGCCTGCTTTACCTAAGGGATTGTAAATACTGTTCAGTAATTAACTTGGCCATTATTATACAAAATCATCAAGAGCATGAGAAGATATTGTAGAGGACACTTACGCACCAAAAATAGACCACAAATTAGACTGGACATTTAGTTCCAAGTGCAAACTATTTTATCAAGTACCCTTATCACCGTCTAAATCTCATTAAATATTATTTTGATTAAAAGAAACGCTAAAACAATAACGGTCAATCGTGGTCATTTATTCTCCTGAAGTAATGGAAAACTGTTTTAACAGTTTTTAAAAATGCAATCACTGTACTTAGTTTTTATAAATTCTATCGCCATTTATAATAATGATTTATGATTTTGCAAATTAACTGACATACCTGTGTTTTTTTTTTTGCTTACCTACCATTCAATTCATACCGACAAAATATTTATTTTTTGTTATCAGTCCGTGTTGACATTAAATGTCTACTTTTTATATTGACATGTCTTGCATTTCAGAAATTTTAATCCAAAAACTTCGAGCATTTTTTTTACGTTTTTCTAGCTAGATTAACATTGATTACGACGCTGTTTCCACAGCTGACTTTCTTTGTGTCCGTGTTTTTAAGAGTTATCTACTCAAACATTTCAAAATTTCATGAGACAGCATCCCGTGTCTAGCATGTTTACTTTGAGCACGTGGGTCTTCTGGTCTTTAACCTATATTTAGGTTAACCGTTAATATTTCCCAATCAATTATTAACCAAAATAGAACAGGCCCTCGATAAATATTTATTGAACAGATTTTGGTGACAGCGGCAGTATTGTAACTAGTGGTAGGTCAACCTGGTGATTCTTCTATGCAAATTCATTTTGGACGTTCTTAAAATTTAATGAAAACAGATAAATTAATTGAAATGACTGAGAATCAGCGGCACAACACCGTGTTTTCAATGGCGGACACAGCAGAATAAACTGTTATTCCAAATAACTAACAATTAGATATATGAATATAGAATTTAAATATTTTTGATATTAATTCCTCTTGTCACAAATACATCTTAGAATAGAAAAAGAAAAATTAATATTATAATGGAAAAGTATTGCGAAAGTTAAAAAAAGAAGCTGTCAGTTAATGATAAAACAGCATAACATAAAGTTTAATTGTTTTGGCAGTTATAGGTATACCGTATGTGAAAGAATTATAAAACGATAAACAGTTAAATAGAATAGCGCAGCTGATATGATTTTTTTCATCTTAGTTGCTTATTGAGTCACATCCAACACAGACGACAGTCTAGACGCAGGACGGTTCACAACAGTCTAGACGCATGACGGTTCACAATATAGTAACTTTTTGTTACGCCATATACGCGAAAATATTAACAAACGCACTTTTTGTATGTACATACAAGACTTTAAGTGATCAAAAAAGAATTCCAACCATTTAATTGATGTCACCGCGTCAATGATGCTGCAGTTTCTATTTGTTATAAAACCACCCGTAAATGAACTATATATTTTCACTGAATATTATCTGGAGACAGTATCCCGACCATGTCTACAATATGTCTGTACCAAAATAGTTTTAGTTGGATACAACCATGTTCGTACGTTTAGATATTGCTGTTCTGGTGAACCGCAAAGATTAACCTATTACTCATATTACTCACTCATAAATAGTCGTTTCCTGTTGGCTTCAAATTTTAATATTTGTCAGCTCAACATCTTAAAATATTAGTATTGATCTTATTATTGAAAATAAAAATATATTAGTTCTACCACAGTTCGGTAAACGGCATCCTTTTCATGTTTAAATGCTTGAAATCACAGTGCCATGGTACCACGTTGTGCCCCAGTGTGGACATTCCTTTGTATATTTACCGATTTTTGTATCTCGTAGTCCATATCTCACGCTATTTGAATTGTTGTATCCCAGTACTTATTTTCTCCTCAGGCTAATGCTCGAGTTGCCTTCTATCTTATACTAAACGATGATTTTGTGATAGTTTCATTGGCTTTATTGGCTTGGCAAACTTTACTCTAGATAAGTCTATCTCAAAATTCCTTAAAAAACTCTTTAAGTTATTTCAGCATATCTTTAACGAGGTAAATGAACGCGATGAGATAGGTGTAGTAATTCGGAGCGCTAGGGCTCGGCTAGAGCTTAAAAACCACAAGGGTTGGAGGCAAGAATTAGCGTTCCTCAACTCGACGGAATTGAGTATAAAGAAATCACAAAACGCGGGTCATATTATTGAAGTAACATTCTTGAGTCGTTCGGAACGACGCTCGGGAAGGAAAAGCTTTATTACTTTGCAAGCTGTTTGTTTTTCGTGGGCAAATAATCGACAGGGTGTGTTGGGAATAGCAAGGCTATTCAACCAGCACGAGTCAAGCAAATACGACTTTGAGTTAGGTTGCCAGTGCGCAGGGATTGTTGCCGTCTCCTGGTAACCAATCACTATAGCTGTGAATCGTAAATCACGTCAGCTGCGAGCGATGGAACAAATAGTTCGCCGAAACAAACAGTTCTCTTTTCACTGGCTTCTTTTCGCCAGGGTTATGTGTCTAAAAGCGGAGCAAAATGGAACTCTGTTGTTCCCTAGTTTGTACCCCGGATTAGTGCGATGCTTATCAATTGCCTTTTTGCCAAGGAACCAATTAACAATATCTATAAATATGTAATGGAGTGTAGCCATAACAAAGCTATACTTGTCCTTTCGCAATTCTTGGAATCGATGCATAATATCTGCACATACTAGTATCCAACTGTCCTTTTGGCTTTATAATTTACAGTCTAATGTATAGTAGTCTAAAAACGAGTTCAACCACGTTAAAGAATCCCGTTCTAAGAAGTGTGAAGAGGAAATAGTGGCTAGAATAACTTTTGTGCAGCAATCGCTGCATTGATATTGTAATTATACAATATTTAACCAAAAGAAAAAAAAACAATAATAAAAATAATAATGACGACCATAACATTATGACAAAAATAGCACTACTAACAGACGAGGTTGCATCAAAATCCATTCCCAAATCATCTGAACACACCGGGTTGAACGTCTGTGTTAAAGTAATATCATAATACCACCTCGTCAACAGCATATTTAGCCTTCTCCTACTTATAAAACGTGTTGAAGTATTATTCTTTCCGTCACCATACCCCGTTTAATTGCTGATCATAATATAGCCTAATCCCCGGTCGTATATTTACCGTATATTAAGCTGTCAGGTACTGGGTGGGAATTTGCGAGAAGCCCTGTATATTATGCACGTGCAACAAAAGGATTTAATCAATAAAGAGATGATGAGTTTAATTTCGTGAACCGCTCCACCATAAATACCTCGGAAGATTGCCTTGTGGATTATAACGTGGTTTCACACTCAAAGAAATGGGTCCTAGTATGGATATTCAACTGGTGATGAACTGAGCGTTTTGAATTAATATTTAACATTGGGCGGGTACTTAAACGATGGAATTAGTCTCAAACGTCATAAAAGAATAATTACGTAAACCGTGCGCATAAACTTAGCACTTCTCACAAAATTTGTTTCCACATTTATTCATTATCACGTTCAAACAGACTCGTTCAACTAAAAAACAGAACATTAGGGCGTTTTTAATAGCTGACACATTAACGCGAAACTGTACGTATGAGCTGTTAAAAAGGAAAACATAACATCACATCAATACATATTTGATCGTGGTACTGATACACTGAGTTGACTTGGTGAAAAGAAGACTTTGAGCCGACCACGGAAAGCCGTGGGGAGCTTCCATATTTACCCTCCCGATACCCTCTGACCACACTTACTTCGAAGGGGCATGAGAAATAAATAACCCCAACTCGATAGCGCGTCGATGTTAAACACGTCTTTTCTATATTAGAATTGGCGGCGCTTTGATATTAAATTGTACTCAGAGTATTTGTTTATCTTGTCAGACTGCCGTTATCTTTCCATGATGGATGCGCTAGGATTTAGGGCAAAAATGTGCCAGGTTTGCCTGCAAGGTGCCGTCTTCAGCGCCTCGTTTTCGATCGTATGCACGAGGTTTACACATAATGGATAGCGAGGCCATTATCCGGATAATTGTTCAGTTAAGTGTTAGTGCACTATTTTGGCGTTGTAAAAAATGCTAATGACGATGCAACTAGCAACAGACCGTTGCTCCAACAAAATGATACGTCATTCTGACAAAAAGTAACAAAAAGTGACGAAAATTGTTGAAATTTTTTTCAAAACTTTAAAAGTATTAGAAAGACAAAACACTGTTCAATGAAATACCTTAACGTATTGAACACCAAACTGGTAAACCATTTTGGATTCTTGTACAAAGATAGCAGACATGGCAAAATTAACGATCTCGGCAAAACTTAAAGCGCTTAACGTGACACCAATTAAACAAATGAGCGTCGAATATAGACCAAACAAATATATATTGAACAAAGTCACCTTTTGCAACTTTTGTGGCATAGAAAATGCATTACAATACTCGTCGTGTCCAAACTATATAATTTATTTTCGGCATCCTCCTTCTGAATAGTTCTACATGATAGAGATAAAATGTTCAAATTTATTTCAATATTTTTTTATATGCGACACCCCTTTAAGTGGTACGAGATAGAAGCTCCAACGTGCTGCTTAGCTGAAGTGGTTCCTTATCATGGGCAAACACTGCATTTTAATACAACGGCATATCTCAATTGGTTTCAGGTATCTTTTTGACACTTTTATCTTGATGGGCGATTATTGCGACCCTATTACAGTCGAAAGATGTTATTAAAAACTAAATTTCCGATAACGACAATTCGCTTGGAAATTAATGTCAAATAATAGCCGAGAAAATATACGATATGGTTGACCGGGGTGCGTTTTGTACAGCGCGCACGCGCACACATGCACATAGACAATGTCGTTTATATTTGGAGTGATATAAATGTGGCCTTGAGACACCAATATTTTAATATTGAAGACTCTTTTAGCACATTAAACCTTTAATTACTTTATCACTGCATCTGCTTTCAAACTTGCTGACAAAAAATTCATTATGGATCCTGTTTCGTAAAGAGACAACAGGACTAACAAATATGGACATTTTTATTGGTAATTTAGGTACATTTAGGATACATTTGTTGTCAATTTAAAGAAATAACGCACCGTTACTAGTTTTGTGCTTCATTTATGTTTCAGATCAAATTGATAACAAATTGAAAATTTAGTTTCCAGAATTTATTTCTCTCTTATTTCAGATACTTCAAGCAAGAATGTTCTCTCAGCATAGATTGCAGCACTGCACTCTGAAGAGTGTTCAAAGAAGCAATGCGCAACGAAATTTATAATCGTATAGGCTAAAGGGTGTCCAGAACCGATAAAAATGAATTTCAGATTGAATTTGCCTTTTCATTATGCAGAAGGCGGCAGTTGCAATGAATCGAAGCAAATTTTCATTTCAGATATATCATGTTTACAGAAAACGTTTATTCCACAGAGCCAAAGCAGATTTTGCAAAGAAGACTTCAAGTTTCAGATTTGACCTGTATTTTAATTTTACAGACGACGGGTATTTCACGGAGGGGCGAGAGTGTGTCAACTGCGGCGCCATCTCAACGCCACTCTGGCGTCGGGACGGCACGGGGCACTATCTTTGCAATGCCTGCGGACTCTACCACAAAATGAACGGCATGAACAGGCCCCTGATCAAACCCCAGCGCCGCCTGGTGAGTCATTGCCCCCCATATAGAAATAAATACGTCCGCACTAACCCCTCCACCTTAACACAATCCAAATTTTTGGCGTTTTTTATTTTCGTGTAGAGAACGGCTGGTATGCCTATCCACAAGAGTACTCCTCCATGGCGCATCATCATTATCCGGTCCCGCCTTCCAGGCCTAGTAACCGCAGGATGGTGAGTCACGTGGGGCAAATCTCGCCATTTGATTGGTCCAGCTCAGAGAGCAGAGCAGACGATACTTGCATTGCATGCTGCAGTTGAGGGCGCTTCCGGTTGTTGGTTTTTTTGGCTTAGGTTTCACACTGCATGCGCTCTGACTTGGACCAGGCAATGGTTAGACGACTTTTTACTTGTGTGCTAAATTTCTCAAACAAAAGTTCGCCACGATGAAAAAAGAAAAGAAAAAAACACAACGTTGTTGGGCTTTGTATGGATTCCCTGTGTGCATTTGCTTGAAACTTTGTCGAAATTGCTTATCACTTAAAGGACATTTTTATTAAATACCATTGGTTCCAACTTATCAAGCGTAAACAAAATTAAATTAAGAGGTTATTTGTTGAGAAATCTCATTTCATTTTGCTTGAATTACTAACAATCTTTTAGCTTGGGTTTGTTTTCTCTGCTGCAAATAACCATATCATTATTATCAGCGTATCATTAAACTATTTTGTCATAACTACATTAGTACTTGCTTGAAAAATAATTCAGTAAAATACTTTAAAAATTTAATAGATCTGCTTTAGTTTCTGAAGAATTGTAAATACAGTAATTTTTTTTCTTTTCAGTCGGCGTCGCGAAGAGTGGGCCTGTCTTGCGCCAACTGCCGTACTTCCACTACCACCCTCTGGCGGCGAAACAATGAAGGAGAGCCAGTCTGTAATGCGTGTGGACTGTACTATAAGCTGCATGGAGTAAGTCTGAAAGAGAAAATTTATAATTCGATCAGAGATCAAAATGGATAGGTAAATTGCAAACTGTTTGACAAGCTTTAAATATATAAAATATGGATATCATAAACATGAAATAAATAAATAAATAGATAGATAAAGAAATAAAAGAAAGGAAGAAAGAAATGTTTATCACAAATGGATATCATAGACATGAAATAAATAAATAAATAAAATAAAAGATGGAAGAAATGTTTATCACATATACAACTTGCTGCTGAAAAACATTTTCTGTATCCAAGACATATACACATTAATTCAGCATGTATTGCAGGAAATTCATAAAAATGTAACGAATGAACACAAAGAAAATGGAATCCTTTTTAAATGTGTATCTTCTGTAAGTGAATTTAAGGCCAATAATTTATACTGTTAAATTGTCTCAAAAATATATTATATTATATTATATTATATTATATTATATTATATTATATTATATTATATTATATTATATTATATTATATTAATGACTAAAAGCTGAAGTTTTGCAATACCAAATAATTTCACATGCCCTGTGCTTTCTATAATGTAACCTCACTCTAATAATTAAAAATATTTAGGAACAATCACAACACAATTAACAATTAAAAAAAAGAGCACACATAATTAGAACAATTCCTTGGCAGTTATACGCGTGGATATTTCCCTGCAATTCATCAACAGTAACAAGCGTAAAAATGTCCGTCTGCAGGCGTGGTGCTCTCAGTGCTATTTGGCCGTACTCGAACAAACATCCATAACCTTTCGGTTGTCTAGACAACCCCGGATGCCATTTTCTCCCCTGACGTGTTCCAGAGATAAAATGGGCATAGAACTGATACGTGTTTGAACCGTTCCTTTGTGCGCAGATAACTCAGCCCTTGGAGTCGCGTTGTTCTTATGCAATGCAATTGAGATGAAACACCCAGGGAATGCTTCCTGTCGAGTGTTTGTATTCCGGGAAATATCAACTGAATGTTTGGAAATATGAGGGAAAACAATTCATGGATTCTGATGAACTTAAGTGAACCAAACCAACATTGAATGGAAATTGGAACTTCTACATTTACTCTTATTAAATGTTTAAGAATGATTATGAAAAAGGATGTGAAAATATAGAATAATTATGGTTTTATAAGATTCAATGTTTTGTGTGTGTGAGGGGGGAGGGGGGGGTCCCAAATAAAAAAAATCTTATAAAAGAATTTTATCTTTCAGTGGCCGTTGGTGTAATGGTGTAATCTACGTTCTGTATGTTTTAATTTCATACATAATCAATGACATAAGAAATTTTATGAAGAAGTAATAGATTTATCGTCCACTTCCAGGTGAACCGCCCTCTAGCGATGAAAAAAGATGGCATTCAAACCCGGAAGAGGAAACCGAAGAGCCTGTCGAAATCAAAGACGCCAACAAAGCAAGAACCAGCCGGTAAGTATCGAAACGAAACACACCCAAGTTTTTAAATACTGCAACAAACAATGCAGGAAAATTCCATGCGAAAATTGGAATTTTTGAATTTAATTCTTTTATTTTAAACAATCCTGTAGAGATATGGTGATTATAAAAGCCATGGAAAAAATTTGATCATTAGAAAGTGTAAAAGGCTGTAATACTGGCATCGCAGACGATGATTTGAAATACGTGCCACAACCTAACATCTATTGATTGAATCAGTTATGGAAATGATTTTATTTCGTTTTGAAAAAAAATATAATAATAATGGTCATGCTATTTATTACTACCACTACTATACAACAGGATTTAAATGGGAATTCAATAAAATTGTTAACTGCTGAAGAGTCGTAAAAGCTGTAACATTAACATTATAAAATATACATTCATTTTTTGCATTATTTTCAGATATTAAACCATCTACATCACCGCCAGTTGCAACACTTCAAGCCGCTCACGGCGGACACACGGCACATGCGCAGACCGGACTTCTGCATTCATCGTCGATGACGTCATCACCCATGACGTCATCACTGAGTCACCCACTCAACCTTACCTCAGGTCACGACGTAGTCAGTCTAAGTAACTCCAACCAAACGGTCTTCCCTAGTCCTCCCACGACAACCAAGTCTTCTGCGCATGGCGGAAGTGAACATGAAAACGGCGGGCTTTCGCTGATGCAGCAGGCGTCGGAACAGGCCTCTCACGCCGTGACTGTGGGGACGAATTGACGTTCTGCCGCTCACATTCCACTGTGTTATTGATACTGGTGCCGTGTTCACGTTTGCTCACGTTCCTTGCGTGATTATATTTTATTCACTGCAGGCCTGTTTTTTGGTGCAAAGCTCTCATACTGCTTCTTCTTCCAGAGAAGCACACTTTTATGAGTACTTAGTCAACGGCTCTTTTTTATTGCTTAAGACGATGCTATACCACGAACTTGATCTTTTGTAGAGCGAAACTGTTTTTTAAAGAATATTCTTTTTCAAGTGTTCTAGTCAAAACAATGCCAGCTAGGTTTCAGACTTGCCATTTTGTTACGAAAGTTCTTGCCAAGGACATAAGTGCCAAAATCCACATAGAACTGAGTCGAGTGGAAACATGCCATAGAATTTACATATGAAAAGCGGTTCTGCCTTGAAGCCATAATACCGCAAATATTTTGGACACATTTTGAGTTGCGCATGCGCATACTAACTGTGTAATATTTACAGCACTCTTGCTTGCCAAAAGAATTTTTATACACAAAGTAATCACACTCTAAATTTAAGTTTTAATAGTTAGCAAAAAAGAGCACAAACCGCCAGGACAGAGTTCGACCAAATGCTTGAAACGCGTTGGACTTATGGAATATATATATATATATATATATATATATATATATATATATATATATATATATATATATATATATATATTTATTCAGCTTTCATCTAAGAAACGAATATGCTGACTGTTTCATAATGTTAGTTGAAAGTGAAACTTCGTTGGTAAAATATTCGTATAAAGAGCACCTGTCGTAATGTTGTAGAGAATCGTGGTTTTATAATTGGTATAAGTTTTGTTGAAAAAAAAAAGATAAAAGAGTTAGAATAGATGGTGTTCAAATAACTAACAATGATAATGGATAGAAATTACACGTAGACAACCCCAACGGCTGTGATGCCCTTTGTACATGCGGAATGGATTCATCATCAGTATGAAATTAATATTCATGTCCTATATGACTAAATGATCTCTAGCATATTGTAAACATTGGATAGCTAATATGTATAATTAAACCAACATTGTAAATATAACCAGTTCAGTTTTTATACAGAAATGCGCACTAGGTTGTTAACAAGGTGCGTTTTGGTTACTGACGAAGACTCTTCTGAGGAATAGAGGGTAAAATAGTTGCTAGGCAATTAAGTTGGTATCTTTTGCGTTCCCCATTGTGGATCGTGGTGCATGTTAGATCAAAAAAGCTTTTTAATTAGAGTTTTATATATTTCTATGAATTCCCTTGATACTATATGCCAGTATTAAGGTATATTGTGTATATTGTGTTGTGTAAGTGCAAATTCCCTTTGCAAACGGTTACAAGTTTCGCACGTTAGCTAGAGTCCTACCTTTCAGCAATCTTTTCTTTCTTGCATCTTTTTTGCCACCTTAAGCTACGTTCGGTGTTACGTAACCGAGCTTCTCGACTTTGAAATCAAGTTGAATTTTGATACCTACAGGTAGGCTAAGAGAGAAAAACGGAAGTCTTTGTATTATTGACTGTACATAGGGTAAAATGAGACAGATGTTAGACAGTATTGTATCAAAATGACTTACTACCACATTTGTACTGCGGTGTTTAATTGAAAACGAGCTACCTCAACTTTCAGAGGCCAATCGATATTTAAACGCAATGGGTGGAGACCACTCTTGTGAATAAGATTCTATTATTAGTTTTGCTTTCAGCATTTGCGGAGACAGCGCTTATAATGATGCCAAGAAATAGCGTTCGTTTCAGAATTAGGACCCCCTAATCAGGAACTGATCAACTTAAGCCGTCATAAGACAAATCCAGTGGAAGTTGGCTCATTATATGCCCCCGCCTGCCAGGAGAAAAGTGCTCAGCACAATGAACGATTGCATTGTGGGATATCATGTTTTTCCCAGCGTGCCCCGGATGTATGATCACATTGAAAACCCTATGTTTCCTGGTTATAATTCATATACTTCCTGTGGGTTGTCTTAAAACGGCTGTAGTAGGCTAAATCGTAGGATACTTTTATATTAAACGTTTTGTTTTAGGCAACTATAGTTAATATTTTTAGTACGAACGAAATTCCATTTCTTTTTTACGTTGACACACGCTTTTATGGCTGTATTAGAATTTTATTGCATTTTACCAGTATTAAAGTTACTGCTATTGTCTTTGGGTTTTGAAAAGAGACATTTCATTTGATAAAGAAAAGTCGCTTGCATGATAGTTCTCAGCGTTTTGTAGTTGCATTTTACTATTGGGCAGTTTCTTATATATATAGATGTCAACAAAAGCTTACAGATCGTAAGAAGGTTAGAAAACACTTTGTGAATTTTAGATATACAAAGTGAAATTTCATATTTTGTTCCAGCAATTATCTAACGCGCGTGTACCATTTAACTTCCTTTTTAGTGATATTATGATTTAAGATAAATAATATTATAAGAAAGGCCCTCGACTGGTTTAGAAGTGTTAAGATGCAGCGTATAATAATGTAGTTTCGGTATGTACGAAAACACCAAACTTCAGTATACTACAGACGATCAAAATATTCGACTCGAACCGTGTTAGGACTGTTTTGAGAAAAAACAACGTTTTTGCCTTACTCTAACAGCCATTTTGTAGGCAATAATTGACAAATGTCTAAAGCAAGACAATTTTGTTAAAATTGTCCTTACTACGGTATGCACTTTTCTCAATAATAACTTTTAATACTTTTGTAGTTATTAACTAGCCATTGAATACACAATACTTTAGCTGCTTTCATTTTAATGCACTCATTGTTATGCGACAAAGTATTGTTGGCAATCAATTCAGTTGAATTCAACGCTATGTAATTTATTTGATCAAAACATCTATTTATGATGTAATTATTTTGTAAATAAATTCTTGTAATTTTTATGACTTCATTTGTGTGTATATTGCATTGAACAAGTCAATGCCTTCAGATGATGTCCGGATATTTAACCGAAGAACAGAGTTTTGGTAAAAAAGTCTGACATGACAATATACGTATTAGTGTATGGCCACCTCATATATGACCAAATTAAGCAGTATCTAAATCTCAAAAGATACACGTCCAACAGAGAGAGAAGTCACAACAGTTGACTTAATGAATTTCACTGACGGTAAAATATTTAAAGAATAAAGAAGATCTAAAACACATCAAAATATCTCATCATATTCGAGTACCAGAAAAGATTTTGTATCTAAAAATAACCGGCACTTTTGTATTGACAGTTACTTCATTATCACCACTGAAGTTATATTTATAAATGTAAAGTATATTTATCTCTCTGTAATTGATAAGTATGCTGTATTATCACATAGTATAGATATCGTGAATAGGATGTATTTCAATTGCTATAAACTACGTGATAAGTTACATTTGTTGATAATTTTCCGACCCCCAAAGTCAATCAAGGTCATTGAAGCTGTAAACCTTTATGGCGTGATTTCGAGTACATTATATACACCTGTTTTGGGGTGAGGGTAAAATTTCAAACGAAATAAAATAATTTGACGAATATTTGAAATTGCAAATGAATGAAAGTTTTTGAAAAATATTTGACAAAATAATGAGAAGAGGCTGTGTAGCAGAGAGAATAATTTGAGAATGTATTCACTGTAATGAATTTTAAAGGATCTTAACTGTTTTCTTCGCTTATGAAGCAGCAAATCGTGTACAGAAATAAATATATCATAGAAAAGTTCCACATGCTTCTTGCAACACAATAACAAAATCCCAAAGGCTAACTATCTAATATCCAATTATTACCCTACGCACTTATCAACATAGAAACGTACATATACCAGTATGCGTATATATATACTATGTTTAAAAGAAGTTATTTTCAATAAAGATAAGATTCTGGTTCTGCGAACTGATGCCATCTTCACTTACAATAAATGTGTTTGGAGGATGCCATTGTATGCAATTTAAAAATAAAATAGAAAGATTTAGAACCCATTTACTGCCCCATAGCGTGACCTGTTTGAGCACGTCTTTAAAGAGATGACACTTATATTGACACCGTGGTCGTTAAATAAATAGACGAGACGCCAGAGGGATGATAAAGTGCACGTAGATCGCATTTAAGGGTACATGGGAGTGTTGAGATATATCAAAGTCCATGGACCAGGTACCAGTTGACCGAAATAATGAGCCTGGTAAAAAAAGATACTATAGACAAATTCAGGAGAAAAAATCACAACTAACCATGTGAAAATTATATGGGTTTATTGAATGGATCTGCACTTCATTTTGGGTACATATATTTAATATATATTCAAGAGTTTGATAGATATTAAATAAAGATACTAAATGTCAACTTGAATTGTCTATGGCATGCCCTTAGGTTGACAATTAACACTCCTGTATAATCAAAATATTATTATTATTAAAATTCTAAAAAAATTGAACACAATTTCAGCAAAAATTAGAAAGTACAAAATACAAAAATCGAATCCTCAGTGTCTCGGATTCGTTTAAAAGTTAAATAAATTAGACTTGTATATTACGTGCCTACTTATTGAAAGCATATTCAAAATGGCGCCCAAAGATTATCACAGCACCCTACCGTTTGCTGATCCAGATAAATGGCTCATTGCTGTTATGTTTGCACATCCTTTGTTTGTTTTAGACAAAAACTACATGAAATAAGCAAAACAAGGTGAACTGCCTAATCTAAATTGGAAATTTAATCGATTAATATTGTAAACACCTTAACGATTTGCCCCAATGCAATGCTCATGGTGTTTTATTATAGTAAAGTTTGGCTTTGGAACAAAACGGTGAATATCCGCCATTTTGATTTTGCCCAATGTGAATGTGTGGTTTCTTCTTTAAAGAACCCATCCACACAGCACGTATTTTTGATGGTGCTGCTTTAATTTGTGGTCGTACCTTAAGCAGGTCTTTTTCGACGTCACGAGTTCTAAGTATTGATCTAAATATCTACGTGCCTTCCGCCCTTGGAACTGACCTAATTTTGGCATCATGTCATATTTTCAGTCCTCTGGCGCGTGAGAGGCGTCCCTGGTCATGTGACTTCTCCGCCTCCCCCTCTTCACTCCATCCTTCCATTCCCTAACCCGCTACCTTCTCCGCTAGCCGGAGCTCGCGCCACGAGGTAGGTCGTGTTGGTCTTCTTTATCTTCGCTCTCACTCCGTAGGTGGTGGGTTTTACATGTAAGACGGCCTGTCCTTGTGATAGAGATTGATATGCGACAATTTAGGCGACCTATACCGTATGTACTCTTATCATATCGCATCTCCTATCTGATTATTGTTTAGATTGTCGCTATCTTACGTGGCATTTCAAGCCTTGAAATTAGCTTGGATTTTCTTATGTGGTTATGGCTCCATAGAGGGTTGCTAAGCTGGGACCTTTTTTGTTTCGTTCTTTAAGTGCCCAAACAAGACGCTCCTGGCTCGTTAAATGTCCTATCTGCACGTCTTAAACTGATAGAAAACTGTAAGGTTTGCTATAAAAATTATCGGGGCGAGATCAAGATAATAACTCTGGCAATGCTATCGGCTCTAGTGCTTAAGTCATATAACTTTATCTGGACTCATTTCACGAATTTACTATTATCGCTATCAGAGCTGTTGACGTTGCCGCCATTTGTCGATCGCGCAGACGATCGGGAAAGGCGGTGGATTTTTTCAATTCATCGGCTTAAATTTGAAGGAAATTTTATCAATTTATTATGGGCTTGTGTTGGAATAGTACACAGCATAGGTGGGGCTCGTTGAGACGCCATTTTCGTGAAATACGCGGCGTTACAGGTGGAAGACACCTTTCAGCGTCTGTGCAGATGACCCCGAGCCATACAACCAATACTTGGTATAGGGGTCTTAAGCTCATTTACATATTTGTGAGCAGTGAGGCCGCGGCCCGTGGGAAGCCATATTGGATTTTACACCTGCCTCAAAAATGGCTTCCGTTTTAAGCGTCTAAGGTAAGTGCGAAAATCTGGAGGAAAGGGGACATTCTCCTGTTGATTTGTGTTCTTATGAACGGCACAAAAATTTGGAGCCATTTTCGTATCTCGGACGAAGGGAGTTTTGAGTTGTTTTGACCATTTCCTCCGGAAGGCATATTCAATGCGGCTTGTTCTGGGACAAAATGGCCAAACCAGGTAGAAATTCATGGAATATGGAATATTTTGACATTTATTTAGGCAAATTTATTCTAAAATGCAAGAGAAATTCGTCAAAAATATCCAATAAACTGAAGGTATGAGAAAATATTTCCAATAAATAATGCTAAATTTGAGACTACGAAACTTCCATTCTTTTTTAGGAAGGCGACAGACATGCTTAAATTCTGCCGTACTTGAGCAATGGCCACGGACACAAAAGACGCAAAATGGAGTAGGGGGGCAGTGGCGACAACGCCCAAGGATTCGACCCCACCTCCAGTCAAAACTAAAAGTGACCTTAAATCGGCCACCAGGGGAGACGCGACCAGCCCCGCCAACGCCCCCCAGGTGAAGGTGAAGGCGGAGAACGGTGCCACGCCGGCAAGTCACTGCAAGGTAGAGGTGCCACAGCCTCGCCCCTCAGATCACGACAGTAAGGGCAACAAGGCGGTTCCAGCCAACGTTAAAGGCAAAGGCGGAGGCAGTTCCAATCCCCAGGGTCCAGAGGGGGTGCAACCTTATCCCAGCGGTCACAACCCAGCGCTGTTACAGACGGAGGAAGTGGAAGGCTTTTTTAACAGCCTGAATTCTCCACACGCGACGGCCGTTGTTGGTGCCGAACCGACGCCAGTGGTGACCAGCTCCTTCTCCTCGAGCAACTTGGCCACTTTGACTAACTCCCCGATGACAGGGGTGCACCAATACAGCAACTCCCCACAGCCACACACCCCAACCAACGCGGCTATGCTGTCCAGCGGCTCTTATTCCGCAGGGTACTACGACGCCGGGGGACAGGGGGTGTACGCCTCGCGCGGACTGTACGTTCCCTCGCCTCGTGCGTACAGTCAGTACGCCTCCCCTCACGAAGCCAGCACCTGGCATCAGGGAGAAGGCTACAGCTCCCCGGGGAACGCCGGTGGAAGGTACCCGTATGGCCCACACATGGACCCCAACGCCAGATCATCCGCGGACATGGCCAAATATCCCGAGGCGACGTATAGTAGTGGCCCCACCGCTGCTCACCGCACGCCTGAGAACCTCTACACGTCTAAAATGGCCGGGTATCAGATCTATATGACTCCCCCCGACATGTCGCCGTGGACGGCAGCTCTCAGTGGACCTTCCCAAGGGGCCGCCAATGGCGCCGAGTCGACCATGTTGGAGGACAGACGGGAAAGCGAGAGTGGTGAGTATTTCATTTTTTTCTTTTCTAATACGACAGCACTACCACCTTTGGCTTCTTTTTTGTGGACAATTCTAGCCTAAGAATACAATTTAGGACACAGAAACACCATATCGCTGGATGAAATTAATAGAAATGAATACATAATATGATGGCCTATTTTATCGATAGAAGGTTCTTGTGCTAGAACGATAGACTATAATAAAGATAAGCGGTTTCTAAACTCGTTTTTAATTTAATTTAATTTTATGTTTGGTATGTACAGATAGGGCTCTTTTTCTTTGCATAAATTCATATTTGCTAACATCCATGTTGACGATTTATGGCGTCGTATATATATCGAAACTAAATTTGGTTAAAATTTTATAAATAGATGGCCAGATAAACAAATAATAGATAAACTAATAACACTTACAGGTTATTACACACATTTCAGACGTGATTGAAACTCAATATAAGGGAATGAACTTCTTGAAGAGACAGTCGATTAATTTTTTTTTTACTAAAATTTGGACTCATAGTTTAATACAAAATTTATTAAGAAAATAACTTTACACAAAATAATGAGAGGCATTTTGTTAGAGTAAATCCAGTTTATAGTAGCTATAAGCCTCGTGGCTGAATCGGGCGATAACTTTAGGCAGTTTTGGAAATGTGACTGCATTACGTCACCGTTACCACTCAAAACAATCGGTTTGCAGTGACATAAATTCCAAAGAAAATATCGTTGACATTTGTGTTTATTTGCAGTTACAATATTTAGTAAATTTGACGAAATAAACAGGAATATATGTCAAGTATGTAGCGATAACATGTTAAACAACAACAATTATTATTATTATTATTATTATTACCAAAATTAAATGACGACAATTATAATTTTGATAAATACTACATCGGGAAAATTGTTTTGATATAAAACTTACTTTTGGTCTTCACCAGTTGCATGATGAATGCTGAAATATAATATGACAAATTTAAAGAATTTGCATCAAACAAAATAACACTTTTATCGGAGTTACTGTTTGAAACAATTCACATTATATCTAGGTGTTCAAAATCATGACATAGGCGCCAATTTAGAAAAGCCAAAACTGTTTACAAAAAGCTAAGAAAATATATGGGTCATTCATGCATCAATACAACGAATAAATACATTCATCTACATCCATATATGACATATCTCATACAATCTAAAACCTCGTGGCCTAGTTTCGTCTAAATGTTTACAAGATATCGGGATAATTAACTCTCCAGTAATATGCCATGGCGGCCAGTATCACCAATGACCTTAATCGCTACAGAGGGAGCAGATATCTCGTCTTAAGTACAGTTAATCATTGCTTAAGATTAGGAGAAAATCATTAAATTTTTGTGGGGCAGACCTTTTGGTGAAACGACCGGTGTTTTGATTTGCGAAAGATGTTTTTGAATAAGGAAATATTGACAAATGTATGCATTTGGATTGCAGGAAATTGAAGAGAACTTTTGTGTCTATTTGATTTGAATTGAATAAAAAGAAAAATAAATGAAATTGCTCATTAAAAAATATGTATGTCATGATTGTAAAATGAATAAGTGGAGAATTTCTCTTGTTATGCATATATACATTATAAAAAATTACAGATAAAAACATTATTTTGAATTCGAAAGTAATCTATATTGTAATTTTTGTAATCAAAACTGTTGACAATGTGGTGATAAAACTATTGGACAATTTAGAAAATCTATTTTATATATTAAATACATATTTAAATATAAAATCAACAGGCTTATTTCACAGTTCGAATTGAAACTTCGTATTTAAATCAAATCAATGTGATTTTGTTATAAAATAAATGCAAACAAAAATATTTTCGAATATAAAAAGTGCTAAATAAAGTTAAATAAGAGTCATAGTCAGATTTTTAAATAGCATGACTGTCAATGATTTGATATAACCATATGGGTAAGTCATGGATAATTTTTTTTCTCTCAATGACTAAGTGGTTTTGAGGGACAAATATACCTGGCAGTCCCATGGCTATCCTTAGTTGGCGCCAATTGCTGAAAAACGCAGCACTTGGGATTTTACGTAATAAGTTATTTAAGCGGTTAACGAAAAGGATGAAATAAAATTGACAGAATAAAATGAAGTTGTGGAAAAAGATTTTGAAGAGAGTCAATGAAAGTTGTGCAGGGAATATTGTAATTGTCTTTAGTTTTTGGAACATTACATTAACTGTATAAACAAACATTGTGGTGAATGGAAAAATAGTGCTTTGAATATAAACCACGAGGTAAACAAAATCTCTGGTTTTGCATAAGGAAGCGAAATGGGGTTTTTACCTTCAGGAAGAAGGAACGAGGAAGACAAACTTCAATGTCATGAAAATGTTTATAAATCGCGGCTCCAAAAATTTAGATCTAAATATATGAAAATGCGTCATTTTGTGACGGGAAGTAAATGATAGAAAAATTTTACGTGGTGTCTCCGCCACTGGTGGTTCACTTTCTCCCCGGCCTGACATGTAGTGTATGTTTGATTTAATTTATAGTATTTACAAAAGCAGTAAAAATAACGGATCAAACATTTACCTACATGGTGATGAAAAGAGTCACAGCCCCGTCTTAAACTACTGTCATGAAGTTATGATTATTGATGAATATAAAATATTTGTGTACCGGTCATTCTTTCATTTGAAAATATATTAATAAAAATAAATGTCCTAAAAGAGTAAAACTTAAGTGTTTAGAAAAAAAATTAGAACGCTGTTTCAAAGGTACCATTTAGAAAGCTTTGACTGTTACTTAATAAGAAAAAGGGTGCATCTTTAGTATAATCACAATACAAGTCATCACAATGCTCCAAAGAGCCGTGTCGGAAGCTTTGAACGCCAGTTAACAAGAAAATAACCAATAAAACATGCAGCGCTATACCAGACTGCTCTCAAAGCTAGGCCCCCAACTCTTAAAACCCACACCAGAGACGCGAACAATGGCTTTAATTTCGCTCGGTTCCCAGGTTCATAAAATCCGTGGTAAATATTGACACAATTTGAACGCTATTCATCATTATCAGCTCGCGGCCCGCGCTATCATGGCCTTATCAGTGGGGAAGAGAGAGAGCCTTGTACGCAGCGGGGGACTAGGGGACCACGGGACGCTGAATGAGAGAGCGTCGAGGACTTAACGTCAATTAATCACCCGGGTGGACAATTGGTAGATGTTGGGATGGGTAGGGGAGGTTAATCCCTTCGGTTTGTCCTTGGGGACGAGGTGATCGAAAGGGGGGGGGGGAGAGAAAATGGTGCATACCTTTTTATGTTGAATTATGCCGGTGTGGGTAAAGCTTTCTATAAGAACTCTAGATAGGATATTTTAAAATGAGACTTTTGTCTGCAAATTATTGTGACGGAAAATTATTACGTGAGACAAATATTTGGCCAAACATGGTGACAGATAAAGGGAATTGTAGGGAAAAAGCAAATAAAAATTATTATTTAACGAAATTGGATATTGTGTGTAGTAACCTTAACATTGTTTAGTTGGATAGAAATATATTGATAACATTGTATAATGTACCCTTTATTAATCCGTAAATAAAAAAATTACGGAAGTTTTGGAAGAATGCCAGTCAAAAGGTTTTGAGTGGAAAAACATTTGAGAAAGAAAATTCTACACTATGAAGGAAATTCATTTTTATTATCAGTTCTGCAAACTTTACCCAATGTACTACAGGAATATTTGACCAAATATGTAATTCAAATATATGGAATTTAGTGACAACAAACGCTATTAAAAATAAACAAAAACAATAACTGTGAACAAAATCCTTGTGGAAGTTAACGCAGAATTGTTAACTATAAACAATATTTTATTTTGCTTTCGTTGAAAAACGTAACAGTCAATTCAACACAGAATAATCATATCACAAATGGAATCCGCATTTTGTCATTATCGGTTTGTTTTCAAAATATTCATAAGATTTCCCCGACCCCATGGTGTATATAGAGGACAGCAAAGGAACTCTAACTGCGTGTAAGTATATGAATTCATAAGTTTCTCCCTATTGTCCAACCCCCCAAATATGGTCCTCTCCCCACCACCACCCTACCCACCCATATACACTCCCTTTACTTGACATTTCTGATTTTATGAACATTTGTACCATCAAATATGTGAAAGCATACTATAGTATAATATTCCAAACTGCCAAATAACCTACTCACCTTCCCCTATTTCTAATTAAGCCATTTTTGAAATATATTTAATGAGCTTTTATGATTTCGATTTGCCATGTATAACCATTCAATATCCGGGGACAAATAATTATAAAAATGTATGTGAAAATATGTGACCTGAAATGTTTATGTATTTAAAAAAACCTGTTAGTGTGTCTCTCGAAACACAAAACAATGTACACAATATTGTAAACCAAACGATGATATAAATTTAATAGAAACTACTTGTGCTATTAATGTTATTGAGGTAACACTTGATGTTCCTGTTTCGTTTATTGATCGTATTGCATATAACGGGTCCCTGTTCCCACTTGTATGTATGTATTCATTACAGAAAGTAAACAGAATTATTCCATGTTATCTGAGTTTCAGTGTAAGACAACGAACTGTATCTCCTTAATTTATTTAACTGCTTTATCATTCATGCGACATTTTTAGTGTTGAAAGTACATATTAGTAATATTTATGGTAAAAATATGCACGTTCTTGGTCGATCTTGGTTAATGCTTATTTTCTGTAAGGAAATTTTGAATATCGTTTTCAATATCATTCATGTATTATCTGAAAGTTCTAACCAAGTGGATACCATGACAATGATACAACTTCGTTACAATTCACATGGGAATTAAGTCCATATTGGTGACCGTTTTCTTTAATGGGCAACGCTTACCATTACCAGTGTCTCTGCCCACAGAAATTTGAAACATGAAAGAGGACATTCAACTTTAGCACAGTGTCTTCCAGGGTTAATGCAAGAAAACATTATTTTTATTACTGAATTATAGTTCCGATGGTTTTATGACAAATGAGTGGATACTTCACCTTTTTTCCGGTCCTATAAAAAGGCTGTATTTAGAATCGTAACTACCGGGTTCTCTGTGCCTGGTACATTTAAGTGCAAAGAGGATACGTGTGATGAAACATAATAAGTAATACGTGATAAATCACAAAAAGGTAAAACTGTCGTTGGCATCCATTGAAACACGTCGGCAGTGATGTTTCTACGGCTTAACTTTACATCTGCTTTGGTGTAATTCTTGTACTTTTTAGCGTGTTATTGTTTCAGTTTGGACGTCATTTCAACACGGTTTAGGACTGTTTTCGAGTGAGAACAGAACTACTTCAAAACGAAAGTTCTAAATCTTATGACCATTTAGCAGTTGATCGATTAAGTATTGAGGTCTAAAATATATGTTGTTTAAAAGCACTATAGGTTATATTTCAACCCTAGGACTATAAAAATGGAGAAAAAAGTAACTTTTCTCTACCCGCGAAGCTCTTCCAGACATACAACATCATGAAGTGTAAGGCAAATACTCTGCAACTTTCCTAAGTGCCAACTTGAAAAAGCAATAAAATACGAAAGCACTTAGGACGTGAAGGAAAAAGATGAAAAATGGCATATGTCAGGTTTTCCCACCAACAGCGTCAGTTTGTAGATGTTTTCTCGAAGAATGGCTGAAACTGGGGAAGTACAATGCAATTTCCATTAAAGCTTTATGATATCCCAAACATAATATACCTTTTTTATTGCCTCTAGTTTTACAGCCTAAATCTCGAAAGGGTCACATTCATTAGGAAAGGTATAGTTTCATGAAAAAAGGTCTTTGGTTATTTATGAGTTTGATTGCAACATTAAAAACAAGCAATTGTCCTAAATATTTTCCATTTTTCCTTCAGTTTTCTGTATTTGTGAGATCCCTTGATATATGTACTGATTTGACTTTGTCTCTTTCCCGCTTCCGTTATGTACATATATGTTTATATTCTAAGTATGCCATCAAACAAATACAATATAATTAAACAACTCACACAGTTCGGGAATAAGATTGTTTCAGCTGGCGTCCTAATTGATTGACATAACTGGAATTGTGGCATTTTGCATAGTTTATGTACAACAGAATGAATAACGAGAACTCCCTAATTGTATTGCAATGTATTTTGCCACTAACGATGGCGGATGTACATTCAAGGTGGCGAAAGGGTAGGCAATGACAGTTTACTCTTGTCAAATTCCTCCTCCACAATGGGTAAGATATGTTGTACTTCCAGCACTGTGCTACAAAGTAGAACATTTGCTTATTTTAGAAAGTGGACAATCTGCCATTTTGGTTTTGAAAGAGCCCTGCCTCTTATGGCGTCTAAAGTTGAAAGTTATGGCAAAAAGGTACATGTCCGTACGCTTTGCATACAATATTGATAATTCAGCGTTCCCATTAAAACATGGCGCCCATTAAAAGTAGGTCGCGTGTAACAATCTTATGTTTGGACAATGATTGCACACACTTTATATTCAAGTTGTGAAAAAATACCATTGAGAATATCCAACATGACTGTGAACATTTTCTTCAACGTACTTAAACAAGAACTGCTAAATCAAATGTAATCAATAATGGAAGACAGATAGAAAAAAAACCTTCCGATTACAATGTTAGCATATATCGTAATGGCAGAAAACTTGTGTAGTGATTTTATCTTTATAAATACTGTAGTTATGGCATAGCATAAAATAGTCCATTTTCCCGGGAATTTTTAAATAGAAGATATAACAGTAATGACATGTTAACAATTTTTTCGCTATGTTTTCGCCGTGTACTTTTATTACTGTTTTGGCAACATTAATAAGTTATGGTAAGAAAGCAAGATCCAAAACATTCTTTTTGATAAAAGTTACAAAGCAACGACCCTTTTTTCCTCCTCTTCTAATAACCACCTCCCATATCCGTTCTTTCTCTTTCCATTTAATCCCAAAACGGCACCCTTTTCCCGAAACCCACACAGTGTTATTGCAGCAATTGCGATATGTTTGCTCTGTGTGTTTCAATTTCAACAGTTCCCCGTCCATGGATTCCAGGGTGTCAGTGCACACCATAGTCCCTGTGTCTCTAAACTGTCAACACACGCCGCTGTCGGTCAATATGAGAATTCCACAGCGACACGCACGTTGCGTTTGTACACGGGGTAACCCTCCCGCGTGTTTTGGCAGTTTTGAGCCTAAAGTATACATAAGCTTTATTGTACATAAACTTCGCCACATACCGTTGTTTTTGCAGCTGGTCCATTTAAATGGCCAGTTTGTGTGGAGATGCAAGACTTGATTGGTGGTAATTGGGTTTTGTAACCCATTTGGTGTTATTTGGTGGAAGGGTAGTCTAAATTAAACCAAGCTGTCGAAAATTTAATGTGGATGAATGTTGGATTACTCTGGACTGGTTTTAGTGACAGATGTTTCTTTTGCTCTTACGGAACATGTAACATAAGTATGTCTGTAAATTTGTAAAATTTCATGTGGTAACTCCAGCATTACTTGTGGCAGTTGAGTTAATAATATTAACAATGTTTTTTATTTAGGTTTTTAGAATAGGGATTTTTTTCTCTTTCTTTCGAAATATAAAATACCACTTGTCTCACCCCCTACCTTCATTTAATATCAGATTCATTTTCTCTTGTCAGTCTAGCGAAACCGCAAAAATAAAACTCTTTTCTTGTTCACATATACTCGAGTATGCTGGGGAATATATATATATGTAGGCCTACTTGTAGAACATGGGTAGACCATGAACCCATGGCTTGCATATTTATTCCGGCTTCTAATTCCAACTTTCATTTTGGGCTTTATTAAGCAATATCTCTGTGACTTTGCATATACGCAGGTAGCTATTTTTAGTCAAAAGAATTGTACAATGTCTCTGTGAAAATAAAGTGAAACTGCAGCTGTTTTGAATCAATATGGGGAGGGGAGTGATTGCCCTATCACAACCATTGCGAAACAAGGATACCTGTCGCAACTAACACAACCAAACTTCCCGCGACGACAAATGTGCCAAAATGAATATGCAGACACATATTTAGACCAGATCTGGTTAAGTTCTACTTGACACCACCAGGGGGTCATCGAATCATTTTGCTGGTGATATAAGACTTAAAACCAAGCACTTAGTACTAATCTACTAAATATCACCTGTTATAATAAAAAAAATCTTGCAAAATTGTCTGTAACGAAGCATGCTGTCATAGAACTTCAACTGCTGTCTGTTGATGTCACATGGAGGTTAAAATAATCTCGTAGACTGGAATCGAAACAGTTTATGAAAGAGTAAAAGCCCAGAGAGTGTGAAATATTTCCTCTGAAGTAGCTCCTTCGTTGACTTTATTCATGAATTTTTACTTTCGACCTTGTGTGCCAACCATTTAAAAAAAGAAAAGAAAAAAGCAAGGGAAGGGAGATTGCAACAGGTATCCTTCTTTACAGGAAGATGCCTTTCGTTTAATTCTGCTATAATCTTGTTATTAGAGGTAAAATCGCCGTTTATTCCAGACGAGTACGCCGAGTATTCCACTGAGCCCAGGGAGTGTGTGAACTGCGGTGCTATCCAGACCCCATTATGGCGGCGTGACGGCACCGGACACTATCTTTGCAACGCCTGCGGACTCTACCACAAAATGAGAACGGTAAGATGGACGGAAGAATGTTATGTTTAAAATGATTTTTAAGTGGGATTATTTTGGTATAATGCCTTTTGTAATTTAAACGTGACTTGTTGTGGTTGATTTAGCAGGGAGAAATAAAATATTATTTTTATGACTAAAGTTTTAAATAATAGAGGTCGGATTTCAGAAGACCTTAGTTTAAGGGCCTTTTTTTGGCAGCACGTTGATGTACTATTTACTCTATCACACACACACACACACACACACACACACACGTTCACGCACGCACGCACACACAAAAACGTATTAGTGTTCTTATTCCGGACAGGACATTTGCACTATTAGACTATATTGACTTAAGCCCCATTTACATAGGCAGTGCAACGACTTTTGCTGAATGCAATCAGCTTAACAGATCAACACGCCTCCTCCTGGCGTTTAAGAGAACACAAAAAAGCTGGTGATGATACGAGTATGTTAGAAACAAGAAGAGGCGTGTTATTCAGTTAAGCTGATTGCACTCAGCAAGAGTCCCCGCAGAGTTGGATCGAGCCATGTAGACCGATGGTGTATATGGGAATGGGGTCTTAGTCATTTCCTTTAACCAATGTCTCCACCAAGTCTGACTGGAGAAGTGAAAGTGTGCCTGGCTAAAACTCTTCTTTCGGACAAAATGCCACTTCACAGTTAGCTTTGCAGTCACTTCCTCCATCGGCTCCAATCTCCACGTGGGTTGAATATTCAAACTTTGTACCCTTTAGGTAAATAACGGCCTCACTAGCCCGATGTTGAAGTCGTCCAGCCCCAGCCAGTTACACCCGCTGCCCAGTGGGTACCTAACTCCGACCACCCAGCCAGGCGGGGTGATGCCCAACAGCCTGCCCTCCACTGTGGACGACATGGGGCAGAACTCCCAGGCCTATAACAAGGTAATTGGTTCGATTTGGAATGAGAAGTCTCTATACACCGGACATATTGCGTCTCTGCTGTTGGGCTGCGTAGACAGCAGGAGCTGTCGTTTTGTTACAACTGTAGATCTCCGTACTGTGTTTTAACAATCAAAATTGATGATTAGACGGGTTTGGGATTTTAACTTCGATAGGCGTAGTATTTCGCACGTATCCTTGATCTTATTTTGCATATTTGTGAGGATGTGTGCGCGCATGTGTCTGCATGCGTCTCTCTCTCTCTCTCTCTCTCTCTCTCTCTCTGTGTGTGTGTGTGTGTGTGTGTGTGTGTG